CGATTTTTAAAACCTACGTCAAGGTAAATGAGATAATAAAAATAGTGAAGTAAAAGAATAAACAAAAGAATGCATTTTATGAATAAAATACAAATAATGGCCTAAATTGCTATGTAAACATAATAGTGATTAAATGTGTATAAAATGCATTTGGATTATACTAAAACGGGCTAATATGAAGGAATAAAATATGACATTTGAAGACTTATCAAACACCCTACCCTTCCCCAAGCAATTAACCAAATTCAACTTTTGCCATCCCTCTATATGTCTTTTTTGCAGGAAAAATGAAGATAACGCGAACCATACACTCAAGGATTGTCATTACAGCAAAGCCATTTGGACACATTTTGAATCTCTATTCCATTTCACAAGATCAACTACACATGGGATACGAGCTTACCTCATGGCATGGTGGCAACAGACAGGGCCTGCAAACCCAAATAGAGCAGCAAAAAAGCCAATGAAATCTGGAAAGAAAGAAACCGAAGAAATCACAATGAGGAGCATAAATCAGAATATCAAATCATCCAAATCATTTGGAAGTCACTCATTGAATGGGCAGCAGTAAAGAACAAAAAGAGGTTGCATTTCGACAATCTAGAACTACCGGGTTTCCACACTCCAGCAATCAAGATCCTAAAATGGAAGGGAGAAATAGAAGGAGTGATTCTAACCACAGACTTGGCAACAAGAGGGGAGCAAAGTGCGGGGGGAGCAATTCTTCGCACAAACACAGGACAATTCATAGCAGCCATTACCTCAACCGTAAGAGCAACTAACTCTCTTGAAGGAGAAGCAGAAGCAGCAATAATGGGCATTAAATGGGCGACCCAATTTACCAATGGGCCTATTCATCTCAGAATGGACTCCCAATCGACAGTCAAAGAAGCAAGAAATCTCCAAAGAGCAGGAGTATTTTCAACTCTCAAAACGCTACTTGAAGCCCATAATGTTTCAATCAAACATGTTTATCGGGAAGAGAACGAAGCGGCCCACAATCTCGCACAACATGCCATCCGATCCAACTCATTTAAAACTTTCAATAACTTTTACTCTCTCCCTAAAAATGTAAAGGGAGTCATCACTTGTGACATTTCTTGTACCAACTTCCGAATTATTTAATAAAAATCCTTTCTTTATATATATATATATATATATATATATATAAAATAAAAGTGTTTATTTTATTGATTATCGAAAAAAGGGAAGCGAGACATCTGCCAGGACAGCACCCTGGACAGGAGGGGGAAGTAGATTAAAAGAAATACATGGACTATAGAAATTGTGTTGACTAGCCCATTTAGCTAAGTGGTGGGCTCCCATATTCCCTTCACGAAGTATGTGAGATATCTTGTGTCCTCCTCGAGTAAAGGCGTTATGGAGTGATGTCCAGAGTTCGTGGTTGATTCCTGGATTTTTGTATCTGGAGATTGACTTGGTCAGAATTTCCGAGTCAGTGTTGGCACAGATGATTCTACCAAAGTGTTCGGCCCAATCTATTCCAAAAGCCAGAGCTCTTGCTTCTCCTTGCAAGGTGTTTGTTTCTTCAATCTTCCACGTTCCAGCTGCTATGAAAACTCCATCTCCTCTGCGAAGGATTGCACCTGCCACCGCGTGAGTGTCTTTGATTGTAACATCTGTGGAGAGGTGTAACCGGTTGTCCAAAGTGTTAGTCCATCTGTGTATTTTAATGCTTGGATTTCTACGATGCAGGGATAGTAGTTCCAGGGGAAGTCTCCAGGCTCCGTAGGATTTGAGCTTAGAAGGGGCCCTTCCTCGAGTCCAATCCTGAAGTTGGGCGATGCAGTCTTGAAGTAGTCTCCCTGTGTCCTTGCTGGCATTATCGTGAAGGCGCCGGTTTCTTTCCTTCCAGATTTGGTGAGTTATGATCCCAGGTATGATTCCTTTAATCCATCCCTCTAGAGTTTTGTTATGGCAAGCTGTCCACCATTTGTGGAGGTAGGCCCTCACCCCATGTGTTGCATTCCAAGGGATCTTGAGAATCCATTCAAAGTAGCTCCAAATAGGTTTGGCATATTCACACTGGAAGAGAGTGTGGTAGTCAGTGTCGCTTTCATTTCCGCATAGCAAACATTGGGAGGGCAAGGAGGTTATTCCAAATTTTCTCAATTGTGCAGGGAAGGGAAGCAGGTTGTGGTGAAGCCGCCATTGGAAGAAAGCAATTTTAGGAATTTGCTTCATGTTCCAAATGACATTCATATGTTGAAGGGTCTCTGTTTCCTCTTCTTCTTCTTGGGCCTGAAGAGCTAGGCAAGCTTCTTTTAGAGTAAGTTGTCTATTTCTGAAAAAAGACTCCTGAGGTTCATCACCTGCAAAAAAAATGTTAGTGGCTGTATCATGTATAGAGCATATTCTTTTCCAGATGGTGGAGTCAGTAATTTTCGGATCAAAATTGTTCTCTCTAGGGTATCTCTCTCTCATAAATTCACTCCAAGTAGAGCTGTTAGCATGAAAGTTCCACCAAAGCTTTAGACTGAAGGCCTCTTGGATTGTGTCCAAAGATCTGACCCCAAGCCCTCCCTTGTCTTCAGGCAAGCAAATTCTGTCCCAAGATGCCCAATGGTAGTTTTCTTTGCCATTTTTATTACCCCAGAGAAAGGTGCACATCTTATTATGTAATAAGTGAATGATAGATTTAGGGAGTTTGTTGACAGCCAAGGTGTGGAGGGGTATGGAGTTTAGGGTGTGTTTGAGGAGGATAAGTCTTCCACTGTGACTGAGAAGTTTGCCCTGCCAACCCTTCAATTTATTATCAAATTGATCAATCAGTGCTTGGCAATAAGTGGATCTGTTTATCCCCCTAAAGATTTGAATTCCCAAGTATTTAAAAGGTAGGGTACCATGTTTCATCCCTAGGGTGCTGCACATGTAGTGAATTCTGTGGCTGGGGGTTTTGGGAGGGGTGAAGAAGTTGCATTTATCAAGATTCACCTTTTGACCTGAGCACCTTTCATATTTACTAAGGAAAGTATGAAAGTGTTTAAGGTTAGGCCCTGACCCATTAGTGAAAATGATAAGATCATCTGCAAAGGCTAGGTGGGAGATAGGGTGGTAGTTCCTTCCCATGTTATAGCCGGCAATATACTTGGTTAGGACTAGATTGTTAAGAGTCCTACTGAATCCTTCAGAAGCAATGATGAAAAGGAGGGGGGATAGGGGATCTCCTTGTTTTAAGCCTCTGGAAGTCTTGAAAGCTTTGGTAGTTTTGCCATTTATGTTGAGAGAGAGGTTTGTAGTGACCAACAGATTGTGGATTAGGTGTGTAGTTTGGTTTGAGAAACCAAATCTCCTCAATATTTCTAGCAGGTAATCCCAAGAAACTCGATCAAATGCTTTAGACATATCCAATTTGATAGCCAGATTACCCCCTCTGCATTTATGACCTAGACCATGAAACATTTCTTGGGCCATTAGGATCTGGTCCTGAATAAGCTTATCTTTCATGAAACCAGCTTGTTCAGGGCTTATAATGCTTGGGAGAATGGATGAAAGTCTAGTGGCCAAGATCTTTGAAATGGTTTTGGCAATAAAATTAGAAAGGCAAATAGGTCTGAAATCAGAGTTGAATATATATATATATAATATATATTAATCTCTCTCTCTAGTTTCTCTCTCTAAAATTCTCTCCTACATGTCCACCGCCTTAGGGGCGGCGGCCTCTGGGTCGTCGTCCAAACCTCCGGCTACCACACCTCTCTTGTCTTCTTCATCAGCTACCAAGAGCTTCAAAGAAGCTGTTTGTCCCTCATCGCCTCAAATACAATCCAAGGAAATTGAAAAATTTAAAGGATTGCCCTGCATATCCTTCTCAAATGAAGAAATTCTATCCCTTGCAGCCAAGTTTCAGTTTGCACTGGTGGGCAGTTTCTTTGGGAAAAGGCCACCTCTGGAGATCATACGCAGTTGGCTGGAGAAAATTGGATTTGTTGGCTTCTCTGTTGGCCTCCTCCACCCCTCACATGTGCTAATCAACTTCTCCTCTGAAAAGGATTACCAGAGACTTTTCCTTCGCAAAGACTGGAATGTCCAGGGAGCTACCATGAGCATCACCAAATGGACCACTGACTTTGATCCCTCCAAGGTAACTCCAATCATCCCTGTCTGGATTTCCATAGCTAATCTGCCCATCCACCTTCATGATAAAAGAGCCTTGATGTCTATTGCAAATATTTTTGGGAAGCCTATCAAACTGGACTCAACTACAGAAAACTTCAATAGGCCTTCAGTGGCCAGATTCTGTGTTGAAATGAATCTCTCTAGCATGCCCCAAAACTCCTTTTATGTTAAGAATGGAGATAACCCATTACTTTTGCAAGCAGAATTTGAAAACCTCCCT